GTGTGATGGTAAAGTTGATCATCCTCCACTGGTCATCTCTGTAGCCAGTGTCATTGCCCAGAGGGCAGCCCTGCCAGGGCTCGGCATGAGGAATGAAATTGTTTCTGATCTTAAACCAAAGGTTTAAAATAGCCATAAAGACCAACACAGCCGTGGCCCATATGTCATCAGCAGTAAACGTGGGGGGTCTTGTCATTCACAAGAAGAAAGGAAGAGAACACTGGACTTCCTAAAAGTATATCAGGGCTCAAGTCAGGAAGTGTGCCACAGGATCTGTCCATAGTTTCTGGCCTTATTGCTCATGGTTTTGGTGGCACGAGAAAGTACAACTGAAGAACTTCACATAAATAAATAACTGAAACTTAGTATTTTCCAGAGAATCACAACTCAAATTTAAATTACTTCCACTTGGGTGGAGCAGATACTGCATCTAAAAGTCCACAAGAATCGGGTTTACGCAACTTGCAAAATAAAGTTTTTAATGATGGTACCCAGCCTTACCCCAAATGAGGTCACTGATATTTACCCATTGATGTCATTAGGTGAGAAAGAGGCAGTGTACTTCCACCGGGGAAGGAGTTTGGTGTTTAAGGAGAGACACTCGGGTTTGAATTGGGACTGGCTCTGCCACTGCTGTAGAAACTCAGGCAAGTCTCTTTGTATCCGTGGAGTTCCCTGCCCTGACAGGTGAAACAGGAAAACCATCCACCTGGTAGTGTCTTTGTGAACATCTGGTGCATCTTAGGGGCTTAAAAAGGATAGCTGTTACTGTTACCTCTGATGTCACAGAATGTATCTACAGCTTAAATGAACCCTGAGGGAAGGCCTGTTCCGCCATGTGGGAACAGTCTCTCCAGAGGTCAAGGTGGGTTTTCCATACCTGCTCCCAGGGCCTCGCAATACACAAACCCACTGCAACAGAGGTGCTTTTCTGTCTCTTTACAATTGCAACCCAAAGGCCAAATCAACTCACTGCAACCCCTCCCCTGACTCCCAGCACAGGGCAACAATGGCCCTCAGCAAGCCTCTCTCTGCTTTCTGCCTATTAGGGTGCCGGGGGAAGCAGGACATTGCTCCTAATTCCAAACTGTAGAATTCTAAATTTCTCTGGTCTCGTCCAACATGTGGCTAGTGTTCCTCTTTTGCCTCCTCTAACCCCTCCTTTTCTCGAATTTTCAGCACCCTCACCTCTCAGTTGTCAGCCTGCCCAGGGAACCCCTACATTTATCTGGCATTCTGCTGAGCAGATTTGGCCCATTAGGGCCTATCCAGGGCTCTGCTTCCCCTGCAAAATGACCCAAAGAGCAATATTTTCTCTGAAATTCTGGGACAAGATTTATATATATAAATATATGTATCATGAGCACAAAACCATGTAAAAATCAAAATGTGCTTCAAAAATTAAGTTTCCCACCCACCCATGCCCAGCAACACCCTGGCTTCCTCTCCTGCTGTTACAAGTTTATTTATCTTTGCAGAGGCGCTTGCTCTTCACAAAACTTCTGTGTGTCTCCCTCCCTCCCTCCCTTCCTTATAAATGAAAACATACTTTATTATTAGTTACCATTTTTAACTTAGCAAAATCAGTACAGAGTTTAAGTCCACTGTCAAATTTAGACTTTTTCTGTCCTTTCAAACAGCACTCTCCAAACCTTTACTATGTCACCCCATCACTAAAAAATCACTGAGCACATACCAAAAATATATACAATTATTCATTCATTTATATAGTCATGCCACTACTGTACTAATAACAATTTACATTATGAAATATTAAAGTAGAAACTTCCAAATGATAAAATGAAGATGAAATTTTAAATTCTGTTTTAAAAAGTTTGATTTGAGTTTTAGTAGCACAAAATATTTTTGCTTTCTAAAATACTGGTGTTAATAGTTATAATAGGATCAATGTGTTGAATATGCTTTGTCACATTTGATAAATCTTGGGTTATCCTTTTGTGATATAGTGATTCAAACATCTAGCTATATGTTCAGTTTATTTTGACATTTAGTTTCAAAGTTCATCAGCACTGAAAAAGATGCCTTATGGAGATATAGATACAAATGGAAGAAATACCTCATTAGATGAACTTTCTTAAATCCCCAAACTCATTTTTCAATCCCATCTAACTTCTACGCAAAAATGTTTGTTGAAATTTTCCCTGATTTAAGGGTGTTTTTTTTTTTTTGTAATGTACTCACACTAAATCGAAACATTTCCAAACGTGTTTTCAAAGTGCTCTTGCCATAGATTGAATTTCTTTGGAAAAGAAATTACTTTCTCCCTAATTGTTAAAGTATCACTTCCACCTTGAAAGGACAGATTGTATGATTGCTTTGTTAAAAGTATCTGCTGTATGACATATTCATGGCCACTTGCCAGAACCGAAAATGACAGCTCGCCTGCAACCCTGGCCTTTTTGTCAAAGAACGAATGCATGACTCATTCTTAGGTTCTACAACTCCTTTAAATACACTTCCATGAGATAACTAGTGTGGTACAAGAGACCTACCTGGCCATTCTCTATGGCATGGCAAAGTGTTATAAAGATCCTACTATTTGAAGGCTTTGTTTTTTAAAATGAATCACACTGATTAACATTCCTATCGGCGTGTAAATCACAATTGTTGGCAATATGCTGGATCCAAAATCATAAAAACATGCCTCACCTCTCCTCATTGCAACTCCCTCTCAGCAGTTGTATGAGACATCTATCTCATGTCTGGGCCAAGGGAGGCACTTGAATGGATCACCTTAAGTATCCCATGGAGGGAGTGTACCTACTTGAAGATTTTCTGCACAGAGGATTTTCTTCATCTAAATCAAAAAACTTCTTTTTCTTCTGTGAACTACCCTGCCCTCCCTTCTTTTAAAGTAAAATACGTGCCAGATCCAGTCTCCATAGGACTGTGCCCTCGAGGGAGCTGGCTAGTTTTGCTTTGGGAAGGCCTGGCACACTGCTCCCTGCAATACCCCCTCAGTGTTCTAGAAGTGCCTGTGGCAGGATGGTGATAAAGTTAACACCTACAACTATAATGTATTGAATTGTTATTGTGTTGGTCCCTGTTTAAAGTGTTCTATTAATATAGCCAATTCTCTTTGCTGTAGTTATTTTCTATAACATTTCCCCAGATGCTACACTAGTGAATTTTGAATCATTGCTCCTAGGGGAAATAATAGAATTTGGTTCCTACTAGCCTCTGGTCCTAATATTTTTGTTGACCAATCAATACATAACCTTGTTTTATATGTGCTGTTTAAGGAAACACATAAAATTTAATATCTATTGTGGTTTCATTAACTTTGAACTCATGGTCAACAGCACTATAACTCATGCCCCAATGATGAGTATCTAATAGATGGATTTTCTCTGTAAGGCACATCACAGCCCTCTTGCACTTAGGAACACTAGACAGCACTTTGGCACTACACCTAGCAGCCCTTTCAAACAGCAAAATCACTAATAAAAAGCAAAAAATATAACAAATATGGTACTAAATAGACTGCAAAAAGGACACTTGTTTACAGTGGGAAAGCTGGAAAAAGAAGGCAGAATGTTGCTTCCTTTGACCTCAGCTGAGAATGTGCACATTGGGTGACTCACATGTTTTGTCATTGCATATGTTCATGAACTACCACAAAAATAAGCAAGTATTGATTTGGGGATTACAAATAAATTTTGGTGAGTAGGAGATATAAATATGGAACCATGAATAATGAAGACTGACCATATCATCTCATGGTACACTTGTGAACAGGTACTACTACTGTGAACTGGAAGCAACCTCAGAAATCTCTTCTGACCACCTTGTTTGAGATTTTGGGGGTTTAGTACAGTGAGTGACTTACCCAAAAACATCCAGGGCCTGTGTGACCCACATGGAACCAAATCCCAGGTCTCTCAGCCACAACTGGTGTCCTTTCCACTACATATTTATAGGATCAAAACAACCATTTTAATTTGCAGGTGGGGCTATATGCAAAACTTTTTGCACACTGCCCCCAGTTTATCCTGTATGATAATTAAAATCTGCTTTTGATCAGAATGTTTGATTTGCTGACTTGTAGTATTTGGGCACAATGAACAATATAAGAAATGAGGACCACAAACCTGAATGAAATCAGGCACAAAATGAAAAATTAAAGAACTGAATAAAATATTTGAAGCAAGAAAAGGCTGCAGCTTTTTAAATTTAGTTCTCCAGTGATCCAAGTCATAGGTGGATTATATGGGAGGGAAATGATGTGGAAGAGGCCAAATGTGCTGTAGAATTTCAGGTGTGAGCTGTACAATTTCAGAGATGACATGTAATTGGGAAAGATGTGCCAAGATATGGTATTTTAGGTGGAAAATTACTAACATATGCATTATTTCAAATTTTTTTGTTAGTCTAAGAATTATACAAAACTAGGTCATTCTTCATTTGGCTAAAAGAGGTACAGAATTTAAAACCCCAATTAAAAATGGCTCAAAACTAATGTGGTCTGTAGGCTGTTTGATAAATGTGTGTATACTTCAAATGAACCAACAAACTAAAAAAACAGCAATGACAAAGAAAGAAAAGGCTAAGATTCAGTATGTTCAGAATAAGAGCCTCTGCTTCTCATCATCTGGTATATTATTACTTATATATATGAGATTTCAATTTCAAAGAATTTTAAGCTACCTTTCTTGCTAGGACTTCCTACATTCCAGTCTCTTCCCCACCACTAGTATTATCACTTCACCTGTTCCTTTGGAGGGATAGTATTTACCAGACACTACCACATGCATGGATGACAAACTCTTCTGTGTTTACAGGGCAAGATGTCTTCACAACTTTATTCGTTTATTGCCCTTTTCACATACTCTTTAAAATTCCCATTCAAGATCCCAACCTCTCATTTATCCGTTTCTATCAAATCTCAGAATCCATCCATTCTTTCCATCCTTTAAGTTAAATGATGTAATTCTTGCTCACACACAGCATTTTCTTATAGTTTATTTTGTAAAAAGCTATCTCTCCCCCAAAATAGAACCTCATTTGTTTTAAGGATAATTTTATTGATGAGGGATGTTTAGCACATATAAAAAGAAAATTTCTAATTAATATAATATTCCCTGTTTTGAAAATTTTCAAAGACTAAAACTCCTGACATTCTCTTTTAGGGAAGTAGCTTATCCATCAATAAGGATCCCATCCTCTCTCAAAAATGAATCAATTAATCATGTCAAAAGATCTCAGAGGCTGGTCAGAGGGTAAAATGTGTCCTCCACCTTGAATAATTACCTTAAAGAAGAAAAGAAAAATAGAAATTTAGAGAAATCAATATTCTACATAAGTGGAAAATTTTAATTCATATTATTCTTCAAGCATACATGAAATACAGAACATATTCTATCAATTCACGCCTTTGGACCTGCTGCCTTGCTTTTAATAACTTTACTAATAGGTACCTTAAGGTAGGAAAGTTTTTAAATTGAGTTAATTGACTTTACACAAAGTTGTGTTCATCTTTCACATGTGTAAAACTTGAAAATTGTCTTTTTCCTCCAGGGAGACAGCTGTTGCTCCCCCACACTGTGCTGTAATTCTTGCCTGGGTAGGCCCCTGGCAGGGAGGACCTGCTCCAGCCAGCTCCGCCTGCACCTGGGTGGAGGAAGCTACCCAAGGCCACCCTGCAGTCAGCGGGCCCACTCGGCCCTCACACCGAGCTATACCTTCTGTCCTAGTCTTTACCATTAATAAAGGGTATATTTTCATTCTCCAAAAAATTAAAACAATAACAACAAATGAGAAATCCTTGACACCTGAAATTTTTAAAGGCCATTTTTTGTTTTTAGCATGGAGTTAGAACATTCTTTCTTCCCAACATTTTATTATGAAAACATTTCAAACATCCGGAAAGTTTGAAAGAATTTCATACACTCACCATTTAGATTCTCTCATTAACACCAGCTTTACTCATTTTCTTATGAATCCCACTCTGTGCATCTATAAATCCATATTATCTTTTTAACACATTTCAGAGTAAAATAGGGATATCAGTATACTCTTCCCCCACCCCATTTTATGGAAAATTAACATACAGTGAAATGCGCTAGTCTAGGTACAGACTTAAGGAGTTTGGATAACAGTGGACACCTGTGTCGCCTACTAGGCTGCATAAAGCATTCCTAAAGCATCTATAATTGAGGCAAGTCCACACTAGGGCCTACATCCTTGTGCTAGTCGCCACACTGATAAAAAGGGGACTGGTCTCTGCACTCGGAAAGCCTCTGGTTTCAGCAAATACCCCAAGTGGAGGACATGAGGCTGTCCTGACTCAATACCAGGAGGGGTAGAATGTGTGTTGGGAGGCCACAGGCAGGAAAGACCCTGGCCTAGAGATGTCCTATGGCACATGTGGAGAATGGACAGGAGTTAGTATAGATGAAGTGAGTGAACACATGCAGTAACAGGACCCCATTCACTAACTTCCAGCTGCTGAGTCACAATCAGCAATTAAAGACCACTCTGATAAGGCTCTGAATTAGAGGCTGGGCTTGTTTATCTGCCTCAATCTGAAGGGAGCTGAGGCAGAAAAAAATATAAATATATTTGAAGAGCGCATTTATTATATTAAAATCCCCCCACCCTGACCCCCAACAACACCCAGCATCTTACAGCCTTACTGTGAGCTAACTGGAATCAACATTAGTAGGTTCATTTTACTTTGCAGCTCACAGCTGTACAAGCTGTGCACTGCACAACTGCAGAGGGCACCATTCAAATCAGCTTCAGGATGACTGAGCTGTATGGAGCTGTTAGGTAGCTTGTCCAAGTCACAATAGTAAGTAGGAGAACTAGCTAGAACCCTGGATTCTGATGCAAACACCAGTGGTTTTAATCAAATCATAGTGTTTGCACAATACTTCTTTACATTTGAACCAAGCTTTACAGCTTAGTCACAGCACATTTGACCCATCTCTCAACAGCCCTCTGAGGTAGGTGAGGGCAGTAGACCACCATTACAGGTGTGAAATTGTACTTAACCCTCACATGCAATTGCAAACACCTGCTTTATGCTACACTCCATCAATGGTGCTGCAATGACAGTAGAGTCTATCTACCATTTATGTTCAAGCTCACATCTAGAAACTCCACACATTCCACTTTTTGTCACAAACTGAAAGTAAACATATCTGTGACAAAGCCACAGCATGTGACTCTAGAGGAAAACTGCTGCTGCCCCCACAATCCCAGGCTAGAATTCTCTTCTTGTAGATTCCCATCCTTGGCAGAATCTCCAGCTTGTCAAATCTCCAGCCTTGGCAGAAATCTGATGAGTGAGAGTTGGGCCACTTCAGCTCAGCTGAGGACACTTAACAAAGTCATTTGTGACAAAATCCAGCTGCTTCAACTGGAATTGAGTTTGGCAGCAATGGTCCAGAACATCAATAAACTGAATACTCAAGAGCTAAAGGTCATCCTGCCTCCAGGACCAGAGCTGCAGCAAATAGTAGCTTTAGTACTTTATGGCCTAAGCTTGGGAGTCAGAGTGTGGGGACATGAATCAGGCAGAGCAAGCTGTGTGACCTTGGGAAATCAGCTTAACCTCTCTGAGCCTCAGAATCCTTAACAATAGAGAAAGAAGTATTGCCTCTTGAGACAGTTGAGAGTTGTATGAGCAATTAATGGAACAATGTCCACAGAACACCTAGCACAGTGCCTAGCCTGAGATGGTACTCAATAAATATTAGCCATTGTCATTATTCTTCCAATATTTATCCCTATTTGAAATCCAGGATCCAAATGTTTGTATCAACCTAACTACTCTAGAACATCATGTTCCTACGTCAGCAGCAAAATATCTTGGTTTAGGGGAGTTGTTTAAAATAGTGGTTCTGAATGTGCAATTCAATACTTGAGCTTGTGAAAACAGACTTGTCAGTTTTGAAGGTCTGGGATAGGGCTTAAAATTTTTTCAATTCTAGTAATTCCAATGTAACGTGGATGCTGTTATTGCAAAGACTGCTCTTTGAGAACCACTGCTTATAACAACTTTTTCTATTTTGTGAGAAGCCGGCAATTATTTACATCAAGTGAGAATACTAATAGGAATTTGTTTAACACCTACTCATGGCCTCAACTTAGTGTATTTCTTCCTGATTATCCACTCTCCTGGTATTTACACACACACAGTCACTCATATACCCATACTTATTTTCTATGTCCATGATAATCAAGTGGTGAGGAAGAGAGGATGGGGCTGAGTGTTATAATTCTTATTCTCAGTGACCCTCATGACCTCCTGTCCAGTTCTGAGCTGCCACATGTAATGACCAAATGACATCATAAATGGTGTCATTAAGATTGGAAAGAAAAGTTAATTTAGGAACAACGTCTTTCACATGCCACAAAATTCTCTAAGTATGTACTCTAACAGATTCCTATAGAGTGTTTTACCTGTGTTAACCTCCAAAATAAATTTATGAATGCTGAAAAATAAACCACTCTTGTTGTTTGTAGCCAAGCCACTCACCACTCACAAATCAAGGACACAAACTACTCCACCGTTTTTAGAAGTGTGCAACAAAATGTGACAGGGCTGTGATTACATATTTAAATGTGACACAATTAATCACAAGGCTCCCTGGCTAGAAATGGTCTCACCACCAGAAACTGTATATTTTGGGTGTTTCCACACCAGGGCTGAAACCTCTAAACTTATGTGTTCCAGATGTTCTTGGGGGTCACAAATGTGTCAAGAATTTTAAAAGGGTTATACAAATGCTTTAAAGCTTCATTCCAATTTATTTTTTAGTAAATGATACCATTCTCTCTGGAATTAGAAACATGGACCTGGCAGTAAAGGTTTCCCAGTTGTGCCTTTTAAGGTGACATAATCCAGAGGGCAATTTACAGTGGGAGTACTGATGGAGATGTGTCACAGAGTCTTCAGGAGGGTCTAGGAGGAGGGGATCACTGGACAGACAACGGCGTAGGGGGAGGATGCACAAAGGCAGCCATGCCTGCAAGAGCAGAAGAGCATGAGGCTGCATGGCACGCATAGTGACCTGTACGTGGTTCCCTTTGTGAAGAGTTAGAGGGAAACAGAAGGGAGAGTTGAACAGAAAATACTGGAGTAATGTGTGATACCCCATACCATACGCTGCTGGGATTTGTGTGTGTGTGTGGTACAATACACATAACATAAAATTACCATTCTAACCATTTTAAAGGTGAACAGCAGCATTTAGTATATTTACAATGTTGTGCATGCATCACCACTTCCTAGGTGGAGACTGTTCTCTTCATCCCGAAAGGAAACCCATCACCCCAAAGAAATAACCTCAAAGTGATCAGTGCTCACTTCCCATTCTCCTCTCCTCACCAGCCCCTGGCAGTCACAACTCTGCTTTCTGTTGCTATGAATTTACCTCTTCTGGATATATCCTAGAGGGTTTTAAGCGGGGTAGTGATTTGCATTATAGAAAGATGACTTATTGTATTATGGGGGAGAGCTGATATGGAAGAAAGTGATACTGTGGCAAGAAGGTAAAACAGGAGACCAGCTTTTCAGGTGAGAGATGATGTAGGCTCATAGGGGAGATCACAAGAAGGGAAAGGAGAGATGGGCTGTGTGGGTGGAACCAGTAAAATCAGAGATCAATCAGAGGTGAAGGTCAAGTGATTGTACCCCCCTCCCAACACACACAAACATCCCCATTTCACGCTTCTGACATGCATCTTTGCAAGGGTTTGTGCTTTTAACCAAGAAAGAAGAAAACAGGCCAATGGGAGAAGCAGGCTGGGAGGTGGGTGATACAGGATGGATTTATAGTTCTTGTTTTGCATGACAGAATCGAGCAGACACTGAAAAGAAGCTTGCTTGTTCTGGTGTTTGATTTATATTAACATTCTTTTATTATTTCTCTTCCATTCCACATTAATAAAATCTTACCTTTTAGCTGTTGGACACTAACCAAGTCTAAATAAAGTAAATATGCACTCAAATAAATAAAAAATACACTAAAAAGAAAAGGTACCTGGAAATGAGAATTAAAAACAAGCCAAAACTATTATGATTAGCATGTATAGTGCGTGGGGGACACGGGGAGGGCTGTACCACACAGAGAAGACAAGTAGTGATTTTACAGCATCTTACTACGCAGATGGACAGTGACTGTGAAGGGGGGAACCTTGTAAACATTTACAAGAAAGACATTAACATCTAATTACTAACCAAAAAAAAAAAAAAACAAGCCAAAACTTGTTGTTAGCAGCCACCTCAGAACATAGAATGA